AAGTCCTCATAACAGATAGTTTAAGGGGCAAAGGAAACACAAGGTGTGACATTGATGGCATGTGACGGGATCCTCGGTGCCCCACGTTGGCTCTTTCATGGATTAAAAGCCCATAAGCACCCACTTTCCCAAGAGCCAGCTCAGGTGGGGAGGACACAGATTCAGGCCCTCTGCGTCCCTACCCTCTGGTGGCCCTTGGCCGGGTGTCCTCTCCCTAGGTCTGAGCTAGGTTTGAGCTACAGGTGGTTGATCCCTGCCCAGTGCAGCTGGAGAGACCTGCTCCCAGCACCTGGCTATGGCCACCCACAACACCCTCCTGCCGGAGACGTGCAGGAGTTGAGACTGGGGGCCCAGGCCAGGGCCCAGCTGTGAGGAGGCCTCTTGCCTCTGTTTCCTTAGCTGCAGGAGGAGGGTGAGAAGGGTCCCAGGTTCACTGGCTGTGAGGAAGGTCAAGTGAGGTCCTGCATGGGACACCCGAAAGCAGCGGCTCATGCGGCCACCCACGGCATGACAGATGATGGGTGTGAAGCGCGGCTCCCCACACTGCCCCTCTCCTGCCCAGCCTCCACCGGGAGCCTGGCCTCTCCACACACACCCCACACCTGGCCTGTGGGCCAGGGGCACTGACACTGCCTGTCCCAAGGACCTGAGGGAAGCCATCCCACTGCTTTCTAGGCAGAGAGTTCACCAGACTTACAAGGAGAGTTTAACACCTCTGATTTTTTAAAAAAAGATTTATTTTATTTTATTTTTGGTACCAGGGGTTGAACTCAGGGGCGCCTAACCTGAGCGACATCCCCATCTCCATCTCCAGACCATTTTTTAATTTAGAGACAGGGACTCACTGAGTTGCTTAGGGCCTCACTAAGATGAGGAGGCTGGCTTGGAACTTTCAGTCCTCCTGGCTCAGCCTCCTGAGTCCCTGGGATTACAGGCAGCACGCCTCCTGATTCTGAAGCAAGTGGGTTCACGGCTCACCCTCCCAGGTTCCCTGGAACAGGTGAGGCAAGGAGATGGGGAGTGGCTGGGGGGCTTAGGACCTGGAGGTCTTCGCTCTGCAGTCATTTGGAAGCCCAGCAGGAACCCAGGCGGGCTCTGGTACAGAGCCCTGGACAGGATCCAACACCCAAGCTAGAAGTTCCCAGCTGGGAATGGGGCCCCGGGGCCAGGTCAAGTCTGACAGGTGTGGATGGGACCCTGGGAGAACTGCAGACTGACGGCCTCCAGCCTCCCCGTGCGGGAGCGCAGGATGTGCTCCATCCGGTGCTTTCTAGGGAGCAGGCTGGGTGGAGGGAGGAGGACGGGGTGTGAGCCAAGCTGGGTGTGATGAGAGGGAAACTGGCAGGGGAAGGAGGGGCTTTTACTGGAACCTGGGCAGTCAGCAGCATCTGTGGCAGTCACCCATGTTTACACCGCAGGAAGGGGATGATGACATGCCCTGGAGAGAGGAGGGTGTTGTTGTCTCTGAGCCGGAACACTGGGTCAAGGGATCAGGCATGGGGCAGCTATTGAGGAGTGATGCCACAGAGCCATGGTGACCAGCCCAGGGCCTTCATTACCAGGAGGAGGAAAGGAAGCCCCAGTCATGCAAGCACAACATCCAGAGGCTGGGAGGGCAAGTCAGAGGTCCTGAATGAGTACACACACTCATTCACTCATTTACCAAACACCGGCTGATGCAGGGACAGGTGCCGAGGACAGAGGGTTGAGCAAAATGAGCCAAGTCACCACCTCGGAGAAGAGAGACATGCAGAAGCAAATCACACACATCAGAGGGCAACTACATCCAGCATCATCACCCATAAAGAAAGGCACTGGGGGGCGGCGGGCTCTGCCAGAGAGATCAAGGAGGGCTTCCTGGAAGTGGTGACATTCGAGCTGCCATCTGAAGGGTGAGAAGAAGTTAGCCCAGCAGAGAGGTGAGGAAAGGGCACCAGGTCGGAAGGAACAACAAGTGTGGCTAGACCCCCAGGGAACGAGGTGGATGCTGCCCAGATGGGAAGGGGCGGGTCCTGGGGAGGGCTCTGGACTTCATTCTAAAGACAAGTAACCATTGAAGAGTGGTGAGCAAAGCCTCCCTCAGGGGAAAATGGGCTGTAGGAGCAGATTGAAGAGAGTGGGCAGAGCCTGAGGAGCAGGGGATGGCCGTGTGGTGGGCCAGGGGGGCTGTGGAAATGGAGGGAGGGGATCAATTAGAGAAATGTCTGGGTCCTGGTGATGGGTGAATGGCTGGGGAAGGCCGGAGTGGAGGGGAGTCCTAAAGGTCAGAACAGGCTGGGACAGGGGAGGGAAAGGGGGAGCCAGCCAGGGAGGGCCCAGCCCACCCCTGTGCCTTGAGGGGACAGTCCCCAAACCATAGGCATGAACATGTAAGTCCGAGCCTCCAAATAGGGAAAACTGGCCAAGGATACTCTGGTCCTTAAGAGACTGAGCGCCATGCTGGTCGGAGCTGATTTCCTGGAGCAGGAGGGGTAAGAGCCAGGACCAGAGGGCAGGCGGCGCTGGAGTGGGCAGAGGTGGCCCCAGACGTGACTGTGGAGAAAGGCTTGGCAGCAGGCCTCTTGGAAGGGAAGCCGAGCTTCGGAAAAATAACCAGAGAAAGAACTTGGCCGCAGACAGAGAACAGTAACGAAGTGCCCTCTCGACTGCGTAACGGAAAGCGGCCTAGTGCCAGCTCCAGCGTGTTGTGTCACTGCTGTGTGCCTCCGTCACATATTAGGGGCTAAAAAAATGTTGTTAAATAAGTAGATGAGTAAGAAGTCTGTGTGGAAACTGGCTCTGTAACAACAACATAAGCTCAGAAGGCGGGCAGTGGGAGGTGATCGGCCCCCGGGAGACCCGGCTCCAGTCCAGACTCAAGACTCACTGGCCACCTTGCTCTAGTGGGAAGTCCCTTCCCCTCTAAACCCCTGAGAGTGTCCTTCCCAGCCCCGTGGTGGCTCCAGGGATCCAAGTACAGTCCGGAACAAGAGGGGAGCTGAGGGAAGCAGGTCACGCCCTCCTCCAGGGCCAGTAACCAGAGCCCCAGGGGGGAGGGCCACCCAGGGTCAGGACAAGCAGGGTAGCCTGACCACTTGCCTTCCCTCGATGAGTGAATGTGATCTGTCACCCTGGCGGGGGAGGGGAGCAGCTGTGGCCTGATGGAGCCCCAGTCCCACTTCACACCAGGCTTCAAGGCACCCTGAATCCCCATCACAGAGCAGGCTCTGCCCTGTCTGGGTGTGGGAGGCCTGTGTCTGTCCACAGTGAGGACTTGCTGTGGCAGTCACAGGGAGTCAGTGGCCAGGTGGCCCGTACCTGCTGCAGCCTTTCCTGTAGGGAACATACCTGTCACCTGTCGAGCAGCTCCTGCTGGGCCAGACCTGGGAGCGGGTGCAGAGGACACTGAGCAGCATCCAGTGACGAGGACCAGGAAGCCTGGGCTGTCCCCCATTTCACCTGAGGGTGGACAGGGAGGAGGGAGGGGAGGCTGTCTGTGCAGGATGAGTGCTCCACAGAGCTCTTGGAAGAGCTGGCATGCCTAGTGCTGCCCCAACAGGTCTGGGGGACCAGGAGAGGGGGGTGGGGGTCCTGGGGCACAAGTCAGAGAGAGGCTGGAGAGGGGCAAGCGGCGTCTCTGATCCCGAGAGGAGGCTGACACTGAGAGTCTGGAGGTCGATGCCCACACAGGGAAAAGCCAGAAGGGACAGGTGGCCCCCTAACCCCAGGGGAACTTCGGCCAGGTGTCCAGGTTATCCTGAGCTCCAAAGAGCTGGCTTCAGACCCTTGGCCCTGCGCCTGTCCTTCCTCCACCCTATCTCTCCCCATCCACAGTCACCAGACCTCATCAAGCCTGCCTCTTGGAGGGACCTAGAAGAGCCCGAAAGAGGTAAAACCCCATGCCTTCCGGCCCCACTGTCCCCTCTGCCCACCAGGCTAGGGCTCACCTGTTGGTGACAGCATCTGTTGGCCACCTTTGATTTGGAGCCAGCGCTCTATACACAAACCAGAGCCTGACTTCCTGGCGTCAAGCTCCAGAACTGGAGGACAGGGGCCTGAGGTGGCCTCCCGCCCCATCCCGCATCACCCTACCCCAGCTTCCTTCCACCTCTCTGTCCCTGCCCGGCCCTGCCCTGGCCTCTGCGCACACCCTTGGCTTAGCTAGAGCCCTCTTCTTGCCACCCTCCCCCACTCAGCCTCATGACCCCATTTCTCCTTCAGGCCTCAGTTGGTCACTTCCCCGCTGCCCCCAGGTTGAGGGACTCCTCCTAAGTCCCGAGTTCTTCTCCCACCAAACACTTATATTGAAATCTCCCTCTGAATTGCTGAGCCCCAACTCAAGCGCTTGAACAGAGGGTCCTGGGTCAGCCCTAGCAGAGGGGCTGGCACACATGAGGGGCTCAGAAAACGACTTGTTGAACTGGTCATCATGCGCTGATTGACAGGATGGACAGAACACCTTGCTGTGTGACTGCCCCTCCCTCTTACAGCCACAGCGCCAGGCAAACTGTGGCGAGGTTGTTGGGAATGTGGGGGCAGGAAGCCCAGGGAAAGAGAGGGCACGGTCCCCACCCTAGACGCCCCCCTTTCCTTCTGAGCAGGGATCAAAAAATAACCAGGAAGGCTGGGCATGCAGCTCGGTGATAGAGTAAATGCCTAGCACGCCCAGGCCCTGGTTCCAGCCCCAGAACCAAATAAACAAATAAATAACCAGGGTTCTTGAGACCGTTGGCCCTTGTGCCCAAGGCCTGGCATCCACCCAGGCAGCTGAGCGAACTCTCCTCCCCTGCCGACCACCCCTCCTTTCCCTCCTCCCTCCCTCTCTCCTCCTCTTCATCCCCCTCCCTCCCAGACCCCTGGCCCTGCCCCAGAGCAACAGAACACCCAGCTGACAGCTGGACTTGCCAGCCCCTGCCAGCCCTTCCCCGGAAGGTCAGGTGACCCTTCCCTTCTCAGGCCACTGGGAGCCCAGCCCTCCTGAGCAGACCTCTCTACCCCGGGCTCGAGTGGAGAGTGCTCTGGGCTTTGCCCAACGCCTGCAGATAGTGGGCACCGAGAGACCACACTCCTGCCTGCCTGAGCCCTCCCTTCCACATCTTCCTCTCGCCATCCCTGCTGTCCCCTGGAGGAGGTCCTGGTGAGTGCTGCCTTGCTGGAGAGACGTGGACAGGGGTGGCATGTTAGCCCATGACAATGCCTGAGCATAGGAGAGGGGTCTCCTGGCCTTAGAGCTCATTCACTCCGAAGGGTCTCGTCTCCATCCAGGGCTGGCCAGGACCCCCCTGAGAGGTGCCTCCATGTGTCTGCACACGTGTGGGTGCTTGCTCCCCTGGGGGGTTGAGCGCAGCATTATTGAGATTCTGGCTTTTGTTCCTCTTCCATCCCGCCCTCACCCGCCAACCCCCCCATCCCCTAGGGTAGTTCCAAGCCTCCCCTTCCTGGGGTGTGCTGGAGTCCTCAGCTTGGCCCCTGGGTGGAGGCAGGGAGGGCAGGGGGTGAGCTGGGGCTGCAGAAGCTGCCGTGAGTGGCAGACACGGGATTGACCGGATGGACAGAACACCTTGCTGTGTGACTGCCCTTCCCCCTTACAGCCATGGAATCCCACTTGGGGCTGGATTAACCCCTTAGCGAGTATCCTGGAGAAGCCCACAGCACTCCCTGGGCCCTGGATTGGGATCGGCATGTCCTGACCCAGTAGCCCCACCCTTCCGCCCTTTGGGGCTGTGGGGTTGGATGACATCAGTGCCTGTGGGCAGTGACCTGGGGCCTGGGTGCCGGTCATCCCTGGGGCACAGTGTCCTGTGGAGAAGGGTGGAGGTGGGAAACCCCCGAGATTTGGGAGTATCTGGGGGTGTCATGGGCCTCAGTCAGGGTCGCCTGTGGTGCCTGGGCCCTGGCAGAGTCTTGGGGTTCTACCTCCTTCGGGCTCTTCTAGGCCCCTCAGTGAACTGGGGTGGGGGACCCTGTGGTCGTCAGGATTCTTGGGGGCTTTACAATAAGTAAATAAGTCCCTTCCCCGGAGATTCAGATCCATGGAGTGGGATTCAGGCTTCTGTATTTTTTTTTAAAAAAGCTACCAGTTCCTTTACCTTTTTATTATGGAAAACCTACAGGGAAAAATAGAGAGAATGAAATCGTAAACACTCGCAGAGCCCGTACCTGGGTCTAAACAGCTGTTTTGAGTTTTTCCATATTTGCTTCATCAAATATGCTAAGGCTCAAGGATTCTGAAGTGATTTATGGATGTCGCGGCACCGCTCCCCACACAGAGCACCTCGTGGGTTCTTCCATAGCCCACGGCCACTTCCCGCCGACAAAATGAACACCTCCCAAGAACATCTGCAGCCAGCCGTGTTCTTAGTGCCCTAATTAACACTGCATTAGACCAGGATTCATCAAGACACTTGTGGTCAATCTGGAGATGCCCCCCAACTCCTCCAGTGACCCCCTCCACGCTGAGATAATGAAGTGAAGGGCCAGTTGTCCCACTGTAGGATAAAGACATGGCTGAGTGTGACTGTTCTCAGTACAGATAGGAAAACAGGCCCAGTAAGGAAGACGCAAGGAGTTTGAAGCAAGATCAAGTCTCCTGGTCCCCTCCTATGCTGTTTCCCTGGATGCTTACCCCACTGTGCTCCTTATCAGTGACCTGAACAAATCCTCCTCTGCAAAGGACCTGTGGCCACTGGAACTCTCTCCATCCCATCTTAGTGCATCCTGGGGCCAGTCCAGGCTGAGCCCACCCCGTGGCCAGCAGCAGCCCCTGCTTCCTTCTGCAGGGCACTTGCATAAATCCTTCCCAGGCAGAAATCCATATGGTTGCTATCTTGTTCGCCAGCAGCCGCAGGGAATAGCAATAAACTTTATGAGCACGGGTTGTTCAGGGAAGGAAACCTGTGTGCTGGCTGGGGAAGTGGGGGTGGGAAGGGAGGGGCCGGCAGGGGAGGGGCTGCACACGGTGCTGCATTTGTGCTGCTTTGTCTCATATTAGGACGGGGGTGGCCCAGCAGGCAGCTGAATAGGGCGTGGGGTGCGTCTGCACCAGGGTAGACCTGGGTGGGAGGCACCGTCAGAGTGGAGCTCACTCTGGACCAAGCTGCTGTGCTCAGACTTGGCTCAAGCTGCCATCTGGGTGCTTGGGTACAGGCCTGGGCAAACCCAGAGCAGTGCCCTGGTTGCTGGGTGTGGAGGTGGCACTGGCTTTGGTTTTGAGATGGAGCTCAGCCCTCTCTGGGCCTCCCTGATCTCTACATGTCTGCTGCTGCCCTCTACTGGGGAGTGGCCCTGCTTGCGTTCTCCCTGAGATTCACTCTTCACAGTTGGCTCGCAGCTCTGGTGTGAAGAAGCCCAAACACACACACACACACACACACACACACGCACACTCACCAACATGTGCACTCAGATGCACGTGCACATGCTCAGCTCTGCCTCATGATTGTGTGTTGACCATAAAGAGCTCTTCCTTTCTTGCAACCATATGTGTCTGGGCTCTTGCACAAGTCAGGTGGCTGATCAAATTACTTAGAGAAAGGTGGGAGGTGTGGGGAGGGGTGCCGGAGGTTGGGAAATGTGCAGGTGGGGCTGGGTGTTTAGAAATGTCCAAGATCCTGGGTACAGTTTCAAGAGGCAAGGTGAGGAGGAGCAAAGCATGGGTGGAGGAGCTGTTGCTACCACCCATGTCTCGGATGCTGTCCAAGGGCAGGATCTACTGAGAGGCAGGGAAGGAGAAGCCCCACTCTGCCTCCCCCAGACCAGACCTTCTAATGGCGCCTGGCTTTTGAGTCATCTTTCCCCCATGTTTCTCTGGCCTTGACAGCAAAATCAGAACATTGCTAGTGCCGCTAAGTACATTTGTCAGTGGCTGAAGGGCTTCTAAACTAATAATCGCTGTATTAAAATCGTATTTGGTCCTCAAACTGGAGAAACGTTGGGAGATTTTTAAATGTTAAGAGAAAAGGAAGAAAAAAAATCCCCTCTCAAAGGATAAAATCAGCCTTGAAATAAGTTTCTGTGACTGAGGAACATGAAGTATTGCTCTGTGATTCTGGAAATCCAGCCTTCCCCGGAAAATAGATGCTCTCCAAAGGCACATATTTCAGCCACGGCTGCGAAGGTGATGTGTGAAGTCCCCCAGAGCTGGGTATTGATCCCACCGAGCAGGGGAGCCGCACAGGGAAAGGCATACAATTCTATGGCCCTTGAGTCATTTTTAGAATGGATTTCAAAATGCCACTTCCCCCGCCCTCCAGAAAATGAGCTTGTGTCTTCCCAGCCTGGATGGCCCCAGATGATGCACAACCCTTAGCCATGAGAGAAACTCCAAAATTCTCCTGCCCATTACGACCTAAGCAGTTTTAAATGGTTTTCAGGTCCTCTCAGCTCTAATAGATTAAAAAATGTTCCCTTGGGCATCACAAGGACGTTGAATGGTACTTGTCCCAAACCTCTGGCTCTGAGAGGCCTGTGGAATGTACGTTAGAGCTTCAGAGGCGAGAGGAGGGCAGGCCATAAACCATGCTGCTTTTGAATTGTGCAGCCTGCCAGATTTTATATTGCAGTCTTCTTTCGCTACGAGCTCTTTCTTAATTATCTTCTCCCCAGAATGCCCTCCCCTCCATCATCTAAGATTTATCAGGATGTGGTCTGGAAGGCTCCAGTAATCTCAAGAGACCATCGCCTTCCCAGGCTGAGCAGCGACCTGGGCCAGCTTCTCCTGACACCTGGGGGCAGGTGTAAAACCAGACAAGCCCAGGCCCAGCACCCTCTCTCCTGCAGGGCAGCATCCTGCCCCGGCCTTGCCCTTTCCTATCATTTCATATTCACATGCTCCCTGAAGTGGGCTCCCCGGGGCTTAGCCAACCTCTCTCCTGCTCCCAGATCCCTTCCCAGACCCCACAAACCACCCCCATCTCAGCAGGGGGCAGTAGCTCTCTTAACCTTCCCGCCTGGACTTATTTATTTACTTATTTGGCAGTGCTGGGGATGGAACCCAGGACCTCATACATGCCAAGCAAGCGCTCTGCCTTTCAGCCTTAGCCTCTAGGACTCATTTTTCAACATAATTTTTTTCCTACCAGTCCCTGTGCAGTACTCATTATGCTTTTAGTGTCTGTTGATTGAGAAAATAGATGATGACAAAAACCTCTAGGAATTCAATAATGCCTTTAAATGAATTTGTATTTTGGTAATCACCAGAATTCTTGCATACATCTGAGAAATCATCGTGCTCCTTGGGTACAGTTTTCTACTCTGCCGACAGTGCTTTAGAGGGTGTGGACGTGGGTAGGTCTTGACCAGCCCACAGGTGGGAGCCCCTCACCCACAGCCTGTGAATTGGCATTGTTGATGGGGCTCCCGGGAGTGGCACTCTGCTGTCCAGCCAGGGCAGATCTGAGGGGGGCCTCCACCCCCAGCCCGACACATTTGCAATTCCAGTGCTTTGAAGGGAGACAAATGTCCCTCTCTCCAGGCCAAACCTCTTCCTCCAGCTTCACAGCCCAGGCCCCTTCCCCGGCCTCCTTTCCCAAGGCTCTGTGGGGAGGCTTGGGTCATTGCGGCTTATGGCATAGAGAGGGCCTCAGATAGGACCTGGCCCTAAAAGAATGATGTGTGTCTCAGGATGATGTGTGTCTCAGGATGCCCAGACAGAGCCCAAGGCTTGGTAGGCACCATCTCTGCAAGGAGGACTGCAAGGTGGGACTACAAGAGGCCCTGGATCTGAGTCCCAACTCTGGAGTTCACTAGCCCTGGCCCCTGAGAAAGCTCTTCTAGTTTTCTAACTCTTGATTTCTCCTTCTGAAAACAACTACCTTGAGGAGCAGGGGTGACTGTAAAGCCAGTGGTCCACAGTCAATGCTTAATAGGAACGGCTGTTATATGTGAGCATGTGACTCATGTGAAGTCGCTTTCAACTTAAGAGCCCCACGTTGGGTACTGGCTATGAGTTCGATAGATAGAATCAGTCAGGATAGACTCTGGTTTGTGCTGTGTAACAAATGCCCCCAAATCTGAGTGGCTGAACACAGCAGAGATTTCCTGTCATGCTACAGATCTGATATACATAGGCACTCAGAGACCCAGGCCAGCAGATCATATGCTGCCCAAATCCCTGTGGCCAGGGACAGAGAACGTGGGGAACTGCTCTTCCAGCTTTCACCCAGGTATGTCACCTGCACTTCCTTCTTTGTCTTGTTGGCCAAAGCAAGTTGCACTCACCTTCAAAGCTGCAATCAGACCACATGCCCACAGGGTAGAGAAGAACGTCTGTGAACAGCCCTGACATGGCCACGGCCAGTTTGTTTCCAAAGGCTCTGATGAGACATTGTCCATGACTGGTTTGTTACGTTTGCACCCTTACAAGTGTGGCTTGTGGTTTCACCTGCCACCTTCCCTAAAAAGGGAGCAGTGAGTCCTAAGAGGTGCATCGCCCACGATTTTGATGGGCCCGGGTTCTGCATGTGGGTTGTGACTGTACATTCAAAGGCTCTCTGGAAATAAGCCATGTGGACTGGTAGTGACAGATCAGGGTGTCCCCATCCACTTTGCTTGTTGGGTGGCATCTGTCACTGTGTCTGCATCAGTAAGGTCTCAGGTCTCAGAATCACTGGTGTTATCACCTGTCCCATCTGCCAAGAACAGCCAAGGCCCTGTTGTCCAAGAGCCTCCTTTCCCACCAGGGAGTGTCTTGCAGCCAGCAGCAGGCTGGCCGTCACCCAGGCCCCATGGGGCTGCAGAGACAGTCTGTATTCTGTGTCCTGACACAGACCGCTCCATGGCCATACCCCATCAGCAGAAGTTAGCCTTGAGTGTCCTGGAGTGAGACCCAGAGTTACCTAACCCAGAACATGACCCGATGATAGGGTAGGAGGACACGGGGACCTGGTGTGTGGGCCGTCTGCCCACTTCCTGGAGATGACAGGCAGCCCCTCTGAGCTCTCCCATCTGGAGGCCTCTCCCCTTCCCCACCAGCCTCATCTTCCCCCCCTCACACCTCCCCACAGAGCCTTGGGAAAGGAGGCCGGGGAAGGGGCCTGGGCTGTGAAGCTGGAGGAAGAGGTTTGGCCTGGAGAGAGGGACATTTGTCTCCCTTCAAAGCACTGGAATTGCAAATGTGTCGGGCTGGGGGCGGAGGCCCCCCTCAGTCAGGCCCTCCACCTGCCTACCCAGCCCCCCAGCTGACTCACAGAGTCATCCTGAGAATAACCCACGCAGTGACAAACCCCAAGTGGCGGAGATGTGCAAAAAGAGAGTTTCACAAAGGAGTTCTGTGTTTCTGTCATCTGAGCCTCATGACAAAACTGTGGCGGTGGGCGAGAAGCGACTCAAGTGGTCATCCAGCTCATCCGGGGCCTCCGCACGCTGGTGGGATGGTGGGGACAGATCTCAGCTCCTGACTCCTCACCCCATATTCCTAGGAAACAGCAGGGCCTAGGGGTGTGGATCCAAGGCCAAGGCCCAAGCCAATGGCAGAAGTGCCTGTATGTGGCCAAAGGAAGCCCTGTCAACTGGGATCAGTGATTTGAGACTTCACAGAGCAGTGGGAAGAATGGAGGCCTTCCCTGGCTTACCACCCGCCCCTCCCAGAGTTGAAGGCCACACACAAAGGTAGAAACAGAAAGCCTGAAGCTTTCTTGGGAGTCCAAGGTCAACCTCAGTGCCAAGGTAAAGCCATGGAAGTATCCAGAGGGGCAGCATGCCAGGCTCAGGACATGCCAGGGGCTGAAGCCACCACTCCTCCCTCTTCCATCCACCCGTCCCACCAAGCTGCTCTCCCCTTACTAGCTGGACACACATAGGAAAGTTACTCAACCTCTCTATGTCTCTATTTCCATGTCTATAAAATGGGCTGATAATACTGATTACCTTATAGAGTGGCCATGAGGCTAAAATCAGTTAATCTACATAAAGTGCCTGGAACATCACCTGACATACACCAACACTGTGTGTGTGCTACTACTTAGGGCTACTATTTGCTCCCTGCACTGACACTGTGGGGTAACAACTATGTCCTCAGAATTCTTTGGAGAGACAGGGGTATAGGAAAAGAGGAGAGGTGGTGGCTGCCCAGCACAGCAGCATAAGGGCCTGCCTAGAGCCAGCTCGGACATGTGGGTGGTCTGGGATGGCATCTGAAGAGGCCAGGCCTGGGCAGTACTGGACAGGGCCCTGGGGAGACAAGTGTGAGGAACGGAAGCCCTTCCTCTGTCTGGGGACAGGTCAGCTGGCAAAGGCTGACATGCAAGTGAGCTCAGGGAGAGGGGACATCAGGCTGCTTTGGTTTTTCCTTCTCATTTCCTTCTTGTCTTCTACAAATTTGCAAGTTAGGAACAGGTTGCCACACCATGGTGCTATCTGGTCCCACAGCCGAGGTGTCATGCAGTGGAAGATGACACCTACCTGAGGTCTGCTTCTCTTCCCACCTCCCACCAGCTTCTCTCAGCTCCTGGAACAGGCCCCCAGGGGGCTGCCTCAGGGCAGAGAAGCAGAAAGGACCTCCCGGCTGTCCCAGGCTGCCCCTCACCTGAGGCCTCAGATCTCCCCACCCCACACCCCACCCAGGAAGCATATGCACACGTGTCAAGCGGGACCCACGCTTCTCCCTTCCTAAAGGAGCACTTTGTGTCCCCAGTACCACCAAAAAGAGGGAGCGTTCTGTGGCCTGCAGGATGGGAGCCTATGAGGGGTCCCATTTGGGGAAAAGAATGGACTGAGCTGAGGCTTTCGATGCCACGGCAGGCTGGAGGCCGGCGCCTGAGCAAATTGATGATCACCGCTGTGCAGAGCCAGCCAGCCATGCCCGTGGCCTGGGCTGAAGGTCAGTTAGAGGGTTGATCATGCCCAGTGCTGCCTGGTCCAGCCACATCCGCAGCCTGGAGTCCAACAGAGGGAGAGGACATTAATAACTTGGTGGTGACGGGCACCGCTGTGGGAATGTCCTCTCAGATGGGACAAACACAGTGGCAAGAGCCTCCCCTCGAAGTGTCTCCTTGGCGCTCTCCTGAGACAAAGTCAGAACAACTTTAGGGGCTGTATTTGTAGCCCAGAGTCCCAGCACTTGCCCATGATCAGGAGGGTAAAGGGAGCAATGGGGGGGCGCAGGCGGGGGGGGCTGGAGGGACACTTTGAAAAGTGGCAGTCATGAAACCTGCCTCTCCTTCAACTCAGAGCTACGGGGGACATGACCACTATAGCAGCAATGCCAGAAATCAGGACGATACTGAGCATTTTGCTCTGGGCACCGGGCTAACCTTTCCATGGCCCTTATCTCAATTCTGTCCCTGACCCCATGGGCAGGTATCATCATCCTGTTCTACAAATGGGGAAACTGAAGCCAAGAGAGGCTCTCCTGCTCACTTTCTCAAGGTCATGCAGGGATGTAGTGGAGCTGGGATGGGAACTGATGGTGCCCAGCTGCGCAGCACAAAAATAAAACCCTCCTGCAAAGCAGTGAGCTCCTCAAACTGCAGGGGCTCTACTTGCTTCCTGTTGGGCTGGGGTCAATGTCCCCAAAGGAAGGCAACATGACAAGACAAGTTAGGACCCAAGCTCTGCACTCTGGAAACTTACAGCTTGCATGTTGATTGGGTTTTCAATAGTATTTTAATATTTAAATTTAAAAGGCACAAAATAATATTTAAAGTCCCTCCCTCACCCCTGCTCCATGGAAGCAAATGTGGTGACCAGTTTCTCGTGACAGATCACTCCAGAAAGGGGCTGGGGTTGTGGCTCAGCAGTAGAGCACTTGCCTCCCACACGTGAGGCTCTGGGCTCGATCCTCAGCACCACATAAAAACAAAAAAACAAAATATTGATCACTTCAGAAGTAATCAATGCATGTTTACAGTCTTTTTTTTGGGGGGGGGGGCTGGTACTAAGGATTTAACCCAGAAGCACTCACCCACATCCCCAGCCCTTTTTTTAAAAAAAATATATATATATTTTTTAAGTTGTCAATGGACCTTTTTTTAAAATTTATTAATTTATTTAAATGTGGTGCTGAGAATCGAACCCACTGCCTCACACATGCTAGACAAGTGCTCTTCCACTGAGCCACAAACCAGCCCTAGCCCTTTTTATATTTCATTTAGAGACAGGGTCTCACTAAGTTGCTGAGGCTGGTTTTGAAGTCACGATCCTCCTGCCTCAGCTGCTGGAATTAGAGGCGTGCACCACGGCGCCTGGCCACTTGTGTAAGCTACCGTGAGGAACCTGCTCTGGCAGAGGCTGGGGACCTTGTGGACTCTCCCGGTACTGCCTCCCCAGCACACTCTCTCCCTCACATAATGTCCACTTTCCTCTCCTTTCTAGAGAGCCCACGGCCAGGGAGATCACTGTGTTGTGACATCAATCAAGGCCAAGAAGGAGGAAGGAGAGGCCCACGGCCAGGCTGCAACCTGTCCAGGAGCACCCACCTCAGCCTCTTCTGCCGGAGGATTCTCTGGCACCATGGTTGTGCAGGGCAGTGTGGACACCAGGGACATCAGGGTGGGCGTGCGGCTGGAGCCCTTCCTGCATCAGGTCGGAGGGCACCTGAGCGTGATGAAGTACGACGAGCACACGGTGTGCAAACCCCTCATCTCCCAGGAGCAGAGATTCTACGAATCCCTGCCGCTGGCCATGAAGCGGTTCACCCCACAGTACAAAGGTGAGCGCAGGCAGCCAGGCCATACCAGGCAGGCTCCTCTGCTGGCCCCAGTGCTTTCCGTGTGCTATGCCGTGGGAGTGTGAGGTTGCCATGGAGACGTGCCCCTCTCCTCACAGGGCCAGGCTTCACTGTCCTAGCTTCTCTGAGCTCTTCAAAGCCTCCAGGTCTGGAGTGTGATCCACTTGGCTTCCCTATGCATTAGCCTAAGCCACCAGGCTTCGGGGAAATCGAAAATGGACTAAATTACACCCTAGTTGCACTAGTCCCTGCCATGCTGGTCTGTGCCTTGGGGGCATCATAGCTGGTCGTATGACTGTGGCTAACCACAGGACAGGTTGAAGCCTCCTTAACCTCCCTCTGGAGGCCCAGGCAGGAGGGGCTCAGGAACCTCAGGCTGAGTCAGGGATTGGAGAAGCTGGGACATGCTCGTTTAGGAACCAGAATTTTTGCCCTTATCTAGGAAAGGCAAAGCCAGGAGATGAGCCCGTGTCAGAGTGTAGCTGGGGAAACCCACGGATGCAGCACGTGTCCCAGGTCTGAGCACCAAGTGGCTCTGGGGAGAGAAAGCTGGGTGTGGAAGGATCTGCTCGTCTCCTTGTCTGCTGCCCTTTGCCAGGATCCCAGGGCAGGTGTCTGTCCACACCTGGTGTTTGGTAAATGAGGCTCACAGGGTGGACTCCACAAGGTGGCTCTCGCAGTGCTGGGCTGAGCGCCCAGAGGGAAGACCTCCTTTGAAGAAGTTTAGATTTCACAACTGCAAGATGCTGCCCTATTGTCAAAGGGTCCATGGAGAAGGCAATCATGACCTCCAAATAAGTTCAGAGGAAACCCACTTGTGGGTCAATGATCAAGACAACACAGGGGATAAGACCATCAACACTGGTGGTCATTCCCAGAGTACAACACTGATTTTCAGAACACCATCTGGGGTCAATCAACTTCATCACAATTGTGTGGGTGTGCATGCTCTCGGTCCTCAGGCCCTACCTAGACCTGTCAATCAGAATCTTTGGAATTCTGGGGTCAGGCCCCAGGAATCCATATTTAGCATGAACCCAATTGAGAGCCACTGATAGGGGGTGACCAGGGCCTCGAGGCCCAGGTATTGCTTCTGAGCACTGTTCCACACATGCCTGAACTTTAATCTAGGCTGCCAGGTTCTCCCGAGAATCTGAGACAAGATAGCTCATCATCATGTCCTGAGAGACAGGAGAGGACAGTCCCAGCCACCTCTGCAGGCCCCTTGTCTCCCCCCGTTGGGCTGGGCCGAGTCTTCCAAGGCCGCAGGCCAGTGTTGCCTGGCTGGTTGTGGGTCACTGTTCATCTTGTCAGAGCACCCACTGGAATGAATGTCTGTCCTTTTGCAACTGAACTTAACCCAGCGAAGGGGTGGCAGGCCCTGGCATGGGGCGGACTCCTGCCAGGAGCATTTCATGCTTGTTCAGCACAACTAGGCAGCTGAGGAGGACGACAGGGCCCCTGTGGGCAGAGCCAAAGAGGGAAAGGGGTTGCTCTGGTCTACAAGAGACCACAGACCAGCGCCACCCTGCACCTTGCTGGCACCAGGCCAAGCCTCTGGTGAGACAGCACCATTCTTGGCACCCCCAAGAATGCTCTGTGGTCCAGATCTCTGCTCAGCCAGGCTTTCCCCTTTAGGTGAGGCCATCCTGGAGACACCCTCTTGGGGGCTCTGATAACTCAGAAATTACCAATGCTCCCCAAATTATAATGGGGATATATCTCAATAAGCCCATTGTAAATTGAAAATATCATTAATTCAAAAATGCATTCAATAAGCTTGGTGTGGTGGCAAACACCTATAATCCCAGTGACTCAGGAGGCTGGGGCAGAAGGAGAACAAGTTTGAGGTCAGCCTCAGCAACTTAGCAAGACTCTCTCAAAATTTAAAAAAGGACTGGGGATGTAACACCCTTACGTTCAACCCCCAGTACCAAAAGGTTTTCAAAAATGCATTTAATACACAGAGTCTACCCAGCCCTGGAGCTTAGCAACACCGCACCCAGGAGTCTTGGTTGTTCCCCTCATGATCATGTGGCTCACTGGGAGCTCCAGTTCACTGCCACTGCCCAGCATCAGAGAGAGTACTATGCCACCTCGGGGTGGCCCCTGGAAGGACCAACACTCAAACATCAATGTGTAGTTTCTACTGGATGCATGTGGCTTTTGCACCATCATCAAGTCAAAAAACTGTAAGTCAAACCACCCTGTGTTGGGGACTCTCTGTAACCTGAGCCAAGGTCAGAGCTGAACCATCAAGGCCCCAGTCCTGCCTTCAGGGCTTCTGACAGGAGGTGGTGTTTCCTCAGGGAGGTGCCTTCACACAGCAGTGATGAGGACACTGAGATGAGGCAGTAACTAAGCACCCACCTACCTGCACAGGCGCTGGGGTGACCCCCAAACATGAGGCTCTGATGAAGCAGAAACACAGAGCCCACACTCACCATCCCTGCAGGGCCAGGGTCCAAACACCAACTGACACAAGACAAAAGAAGACACTAGAAAAAGGCCCAGAACCAAGGAGCACCATGGGATTCATCCCCATACACCCAGGATGGAGCAGGAAGACCACAAGCTGAGGTCAGGTTGCAGACAGGGCAGGTCCTGAGGGCTCGCGGGTCCTGCAGGCTGCTGGTTTCTCCAAATCTGAGAAGTAGTTGCAGCTAACTCTAGTGTTTGCTCTGTGCCTGGCACCTGCACATGGTCTCTGGACACTAATTCATATAACCCTCACAAGCCCCTGGGGCAGGTACCTTTATTACCCCCTTGGCACAGATGAGAAAATTGAGGTACAGAGAGGTGACCTAGCTTGCCTGAGGCCACACAGCCAGGGACAGGCAGAGTCAGAATTGAAGCCCCAAGGCCTGGCTCCCAAGGATGGGTTCTTGGCCACAAAGGGCCACTCCACCAAGCTCCACTGTTACTAAAGGGAGGGACTTAGGGTGTCAGTGCTCAGGAGGTCACCTAGCCCAAGGAGAGAGGAGATGTGGCTTGCTGGGAGTTACTCAGCCAGTGATCTCATGTGAGGGGAACGCGAATGCTCATGAGGCTCTCTCAGTGATTTCCCGATTTCTCCTCAATAGGAACAGCCCCTTAGAAAGAGGGGCCATTTCTGATGTGGCTGCCACCTGCCACAGAATATGCCCTCTGCATTTTAACTGCCTTGCAGCAATGGCAGCAGGGGAACCTCAGGTTCCTCAGGAACCTCCTTGTGCCAGAAGCTCACTCTGGACCTTTGCTGGGTTCCCCAGGCCTTGGGGCTGCACCCCTCTACCTCTGAGTCTGCCCGTCAGCCTTGGGCGGATGGGGACATACTCCTAAGTCCAATTGGCTAACACTTCAGCCGGATTCATATTACAGACGGCAGTGAGCAAATGTCCTCATAAGCTTAAAAATAAATACATGACAGAATATTCACCAAGACTCAGGAAGCTGCTCAGCCAAACTCAAATTGCTGAGATGCTTTGAGTGTGCCAATCGTGGTAGTAAGCACTCTTGTTTGCCGAGCCGGCAGGGACCCTGGTTGAGGTGCGTGGGGAGGACTGATGAGTGGGGTGACAGGTGTGGTGGTGGGGGCTCTGGCTGGGCCCCAACTTTCCTGGCCAGGCAGTGGCCACAGAGGTCTGGGAGTCCCTGGGCCTAATCCCCATAGGTACACCTGACAAGCTGAGGCTGGGCTGAGCTGCTCTGGCTCTTGATTAAAAGAACAACCTAAGTATTAAGGAGCCTGGAGTCCATGGTCATGCAGAGCAGTCAAGTGCAAGCAGCTCCAAACTGTGCAAGGCGGCTCTCTGCTAAGGATCCCACCCAGCAGGGCCAGCTTCAAGGGAAGGGCTGAGCAGAGCCACAGATGGGTATATGAGAGACAGGGAGGGAAAGTGGAGACAGACGCTGAGCCCATCAGAGGCACACTCAAAGACAGAGAGGCCAGGACGCAGATCTGGCAGCGTAGCGCTGACAACATGAGAGATGGAAATGACTTCTGCATTTTATTGGTTTTGCGTTATCTACACCGCTGCTCTCCATTTAGTCAGACACTCGGAACCGATGAGATCAGGCAAGAGCTGGAGCCTGGAGAAGTGGGTGAAGGTCACATTTCTTGTCCCTCCAGAAAGTCCTCCAGGGTCCAAGCTCCCCTGCACCATGGTTTCTGACAGACCTGTCACTACAGCCTCTAAAGTGCAAAAGGTCAGAGGGTTGCTAGCTTGAACTTTACAAAATCTGAAAGAGCCCTGCTCTGAGCCAGGACACCTTTCTGGGTTCCCCAGGCAGGTGGAGGTCCCCAAGGACAGGGTGGACACAGAGGCCAGCCCACTCTCTCCCCGTCACATGAGGAGGAATGGGTTCAGGTCAGTTCTCCTCCCTAGAACAAGCACAGTGATGTCCTTCTTGAAGGACACGGGGATGGAAATGCAAACCCCATGTCCTGGGCTTCCGGATGCTCCCAGGCCTCTGTGCTGACAGCCTCTCCTGAGGGGGTGAAATCGTGGCTTCTCTGTTCTGGATCACAGAACAGGATGACCAGAGCCAATGTGACTGGGGACACAGCAGGAGTGCTTCTTATGCACACACAGTAAACACAGTGTGACAACAATGAACACTCCCCATAGAATCTCTGCCTCCATATAACGGTGTGTCCCTTCTTCTGTGCCCATGTCTGGCGTGGCCCTCTCAGAGCTCCATCCCATAGCAACCATGCAAACTTGGCTCTTCAGCCTCCTGGGCCTCCATGTGCACCCACGACCACCGCCCAGGCAGGTTGCCACTCTGAGATCACAAATGAAAAGCACACAGTATCATCTAGGGGCCACACACAGTAGGCAGAAAGACACGGTAATTATGTTACTGTTGTGACTATGTCCCCAGCCTGCCGTTAGCTCAATGCTCTCACATGCAGAGTGGTGACAGTGGGCTTGTTCCAGGATGAGGGCTGGTGTTAGCCAAGCTGCAAAACCCCAGGCCCAGGAATGGTATTATCGTTATGATTATTTCACCAGACAGGAACCTGGGACGGGATGGCAAAAAGTAAAGATTTTTTTTTGCAGGAGCTGGAGAGAAAATGTCCCTCCCAGGCTGCAAAAATTAGGGAACTGGGAATCTGAGATGACAGGATAGACCCAAAGAGTGCTGAGCTAGGCACCAGTGGCCCTGGAGAGTGACTTGCTGAATTATAGAGCAGCCCTGGGAACAAGGGTCTGTACCGAGCAGCCCTGGTGGGCCTGGCAGGGACGTGGGCAGGGAATTCAGCAGCCTTTACTGCCAGCTCAGCAGAAATCACCACTTACACTTGGGGGTGACCAAGGGGCTGGGGGAGGAAACGGACAGCGTGGAGCACATACAAACGTGCAGCCCGCCCGTGCTCTCAGCCAGGGTCCAGGCAGAAAGCAAATGGTGCATTTGGGAGAATCTTTCCAAGGTGCCTTCGGCTTGGCGCTACCAGGAGCGGGGTGCACCCAGGGTAGGCACCACTGGAAAGCTGAAGTCCCAGGTCTGAAGGGCAGGGTGAGGGGAATAGCGTCACCAATCCAGCATGCTTGAACACAGACCTGGTCAGTGACGTGGGGAGAAAGCCATGGCACAAGAGCCCAGACTTCCTCCTCCCACCCTCCCAGGCCTGCAGGGTCCCCTATTGGCCAGAGCCATCAGGATACAGGAGCACAGGGAAGCCACTGGGGCACTGCATAGGGTCAGCCCCTCCACACAAGGCAGGGCAGAGAGAGCACAGAGTGTCGGAGCTGGAGAGCTGACAGAGAAGACTCAAGAAGCAGGCGCAGGAACAAGCCTGTTCTCAGAGAACTGTCCACCTGGCCACATCTGTGCTGCTGCCTACACTGGGGCAATGACAGTCACCACTGGATGCCAGGCTCCAGGGAAGACGCCTGGCTTCTACCACCAGAGCCACAGGTTGGGGAACTCTCACAGGTCTCTGGTTGCATCAGGGGACCATGTCCACCAATGACCTTCGTGTGCCCATGCCTCTGGCCCAGAAAATGGCGGGCGTTGGTGTAAAAGGCAGAGACGGGCAGAGTGAAAGAGGAGCCCTGAGTCCTAGAAGGCTGCGGGAGGAAGGATTCCTGGAAGAAGCTGGTCAGAATAGGAGAATGGAGAGGAAAGAGAGGATGATGAAGGAGGCAAAGAGTCAAGGGAGCAACGGGAGAACCTGGCTTCCCTTCACTGCCGTCCCCAGAAGAGGGACCAGCCTTGAGGCCCCCTAGGTGGGACATACTGGGCTGTGGCATGCCTGGGAAGGCGGGACTGTATGGAAAGGGACAGGACTTCCAGAAGGGAAGGCACAGGGCTGGCTTCTGTTTAAAGCAGGAGGAGCAGAGACAGGGGATAGAGCAGCGACATGCGGACATCAGCCCAACGCCATGCTCTGCAGGCTCCTTGACATGGGGCCCATTCAGGGATAGGATCAGGTTTACAGGAAAGCAGGCCAGTCCCATGGCCCTTCCTTGAGAGAGGAGTTGGGAAAGGGGGAGGTGGGTCAGTGCCCACGTCTGCTCAGAGGGACTTTCCATCTGATCTCTGCCCGTTTCCTCCGTGTCCTGCAGGTACCATCACAGTGCATCTCCGGAGAGACAGCAGGGGCCATCTCAGCCTGGTCGCCCCCCCACTGAAGGAGAACCGGGAGCCCTTCAAGGTCTCCCCAGATTCTGCAGCAGTGGCCATCTGGCAGACACTTCAGCAGACCACCAGTGGCGGTGGCTCCCAGCCCCTGGCCCAGCTGGCGCACTCCCTCAAGGAGAGGTGAGAGCTCCTGCACAGACGACAGAAAGCTGGGCGCTTGTCCCTTGGCAGGGACCAGCACAGTGCCCACCTGTGCCCAAGGCCAACCTCTCCCCTGGGGGGGTTGGCACCGAAAAAATGAGAAATTCAGATAAAGGCTCTCTCTAGAAAAACCCCTGTGGCCAGAGACAGGAACGGGCTTTCTCTAATGCTGCTTCTAGAAGGAGGATTACCAGGCATTTTACCTCAGAGGTTGATGCACATGTGCTATGGAGCAGGTACTTGGTAACTATTTGTTTAATTAAATATCTGTTTCACCGAGACCATGAAGTGTCTCTGGGGGGATTGTGCTGAATAGAAACCCTGGAATAGTTTATAGGAAGGAAGTGTGGCCAATTTCTCTCAGAAGTCAGCTCTTTCCTTAGCAGTTAGGACAGAAAAAGGAGAGAAGTCCATGCAGCACACCATCAGTGCCTAGGGACCCCAGAGACCCAGGGGCCTGAGGTCCTCGCAGAGATCTCCAGAGCCTCTGATAATGTGTGCTGGCCTTTCTCAGACAGAAAGGGATCCCTGGGGATTTTTAAAACATTTATGGGAAACAAAAGGGAACTAATGCAGTGACAATATGGCCCTCCCCAAGGAGCCCAGTGGATCTAATTAAGCCTCTTGGCTTGGCAGGAAGCAGCACACATCTCCAGTCTCAAATGGAGATGCCAAGATGCAGAGAGGCCAGGAGAAGGAGGGCAGACCAAGGCTCCTGTCTCCCACAGCCCCCACCAGTCCCATTCCCCATGGCCTTCTGAGACCTCAGGAGATAACAACATGCCAGGGTGTAGAAGCCAGCCTGACTCTGGGGCGGGCGGGGGGGGGGGGTGTCACTGTCCCATACTGTGTGCCTCAACAGTGAGATCATTAATACACCAGATCACTTACAAGTGAACTTGAATCACCTCAGCCCTCTGAGGGGTGACACACCTGAGGAGCCACCTGGGGCTTGAGAGGATTGCACTGTGGTGTGATCTGGTGAGCAAAGAGGGCACTTAGGACCCTGCAGCTGTCTCCTGGCACCTGGTGAGAGACGTCCTGGAAGTCAGCTGGGGACAGCACTTGTCAGAACCTGTCCCAGAGAGCCTGGGCAGTCCACACAGGCATCCTTCCCTGGCCTCTGGCTGTGGCTGCCCTGACTGTCATCCTGTGCTCCCCACGCCTGCAGCCCCGCCAAGGCGCTCCTGAGGCCTGAGTTCCACCTCAACACCCAAGTCTCCTCACTGGTGCAAGATTCTAATGGAAACCAGGTTGAGAGGCGGGGCTTCAACCCATGGGGCCTGCACTGCCACCAGGCCCATCTGACCCGCCTGTGTGCTGAGTACCCAGAAGACAAGTGTCACCGTATCCTTGCCACCCTCTGCACCACACATGGTCCCACAGGCAGGAAAACACACCCAGAAGGAGCAGTGGGAGATAGAGAGAAGGAGGCGCAGAGACAGAGGAGACAGAGGGACATGGGGCAGGGGTAGAAAGGGGAGACAGACACACCCAGGGCCAAGGGATTGGGACAGGGAGAGAGAGACGGAGGTGAGGGGTCATTTGAAGGCCAAGACCATAAACCTTGGACCTACAAGAGATCAGATCTCTCCAAAAGAAAACTTAAGAGCATGGAGACGTTAGACTGGGAATTAAGCTGAATGCAGTGTCCCTGGTAGGGCCATTGACATGTCTCCTGTCACCTAGGCAGTAGGATGAGTAGGGATGGGGTTTCCATAGGGAGAAGGAATGAGTAACACCACTCTGGGTGAAGGTAGGAGGGGGTCAGAGGGCTGGCTGAGTCCACCCAAATCCTCCCTGCAGATGTCTTCCCATGGGCCCCTGGGGCAAGGAGGGCTGCAGGTCCTCCCTTAGGGAAGTGCCCATGGGGTGGACTCTGAGAGGAGGCAGACACCCCTCCCCCCCCCACAGGCGGCCATATCCTCAGTGAGCAAATTTAGATTTGAAATGCCCCTCCATCACCACTGGGCTGCTGCCTGCAAACAGGCGGCTGGTTTCACAGTATTTACTAAGACACATCTGCAACCTTAATCCCTAAGAAGCTTTTGCAGGATAATTACTCCACTGAAATTAATATTCCTGCAACTCATCTCCGAAGCGAACATCAACCCACTTCTCCCAAAAGGTATTGGCCCATTCAGTGACTGGAGGTTTTAGCCTTATGATTTTCTGCCATAAAATGTAAATTGGGCATGGCCTGCCAGGGATTTCACGCCTGCATTTAAATTTCAATCTCAGAGCAAAATGGAAAAGAGAAAAAAGGCTCACATACTCATAAACTCCCCCTAAATAAATGGACTTATTAAAGCAGCCTGCAAAGCTAATACCTTGCATTTGTAATAGCAAGGGCTTGCCTGTAAGGGAGGAAGTTGGAGTGAGTGAATGACAGTCTAAGCAGGCATTTCCAGACAGCTTCTAGGGCATGCTAACTGCCTCAGAGGGACAGTAGCCTTGATGTCCTCAGAGTCTTTCCTTAACTTAGCATGACTAGGGTTCTTGCTGCTGGAAAACGTAGTGTCACAGTACACACATCCCTGTATCCTGGACCTGAAGATGGGGACCCGGCAGCACGGAGACGATGCATCCGAGGAGAAGAAGGCCCGTCACATGAGGAAGTGTGCACAGAGCACCTCGGCCTGCCTGGGCGTGCGCATCTGCGGCATGCAGGTAGGTGCAGAGCAGGGGTGGGCATCTTGGCATGTCTGCTGTGGATGAGCATGTCTCCCCACACCCCTCCCTCCCTGCAGAGCCCATCACTTTTAGGGAGCAACTGAGGAGGCCAGAGACCACTTTTGCAATAAGGACATGCATCTCTTGGTCTGGGGCACATTAGTTGTTTTGGTCTTGCTTTTGCAGCGCTGGGGATGGAACCCAGAGCCTTGGGCATGCGAGGCAAGCGCTCTGCCTCCAGCCCACACGCTGGGTTTTATTAAGAGCATCCTTCAGGATAGTCATGTCAGAAGCCCACCATTTTTTAGCTCCATCTTTGGCAGCTGAAACCTTCTGCAGTGGCCCCATGGTTCCTGCCCATGTTGAGAGAGACCTTTGATGACAGTGTGTGGCAGGGACTGCGGAAAGAACTGAGAGGGGGTGCACTCTGCCTTCCTGATCCCGTGCCCTCTGAATGATGAAGCAGAATCCTGTCCTCCATACGGGACTCAGTCCGCTCTTGGAATTCTTATTAGCCATTCTCTCTTCTGCATCCACCTTTTCTGCTTCTGATGCCTGGTTTGGATAAAAAAGTGAGCAAAGCATAATCTGCCAAGCCCAGACCAAGGATGGTTCATTTTCTTCTTGCCCAGACCCCCCGTTTCATCATTGCTATTACAGTATGGCCTTGGCAGGGCTGCAGAGAGCAGGGGGATAAACTGCCTCCACTCCTTCACTCTCTCAGTCTGTCTACTCCAAGCAAAACCAGACACCGATCTGATGGTAAACGTTATAGCTTTCCTTAATTGAAACTGCCACCCCTTGAAGCTGGAAGTTGAGTCTATAAATTCGTTGCACAGATGTCCCTGGGAAGGCTTGGAACGCAGTCCTCAAGAGAATGGAGTGTGATGATTTGTGGTGTAAATGGAATCTCTCTCTGGACCTCAAACCTTCTGAAATTGATCTGATTTATTTAGAAAGTGATGCCTGTCGTGTATTTATGATGGCTAATTTAGCAGCCGATCTCCGGCCCTCCAAAGGCGACATCAAGCTTATCAGATCTTTCTGATTTTTTTTCCCCCCAACACTGGTTTTCAGTAAACATATCATGTAATCTGAAGGCAAGAAAGACTTGAGACGCTGTCTTAGCCAGGTACGGGTGGCCCTGCCCAGGTGTGCCAAGTGTCCTCTGGCGGTGCCAGCCATGGGCCTGGGCTTAGTTTCTGCTGTTGCCTATGCCATCTGAATGAAATGGGGGCGGCTGCCATGGTCCCCCATCAGCATCTCTCTTCCATCTGCTCCCTTCTGGTGGCCAAGACATGTCAGAGGAGGGGAGGGGAGATGGTGCCAAGGATAGGCACCACCAGCCGCACAGAGCAGCTATAAGCCTCCCTCCTCCACTCAGGCCTCGCTCCCCCACCCAACCCAGCAGCTGCACTGTCTGCCTGCAAACTCCGCCCACACCTGACCTAGCCTGTCTTCTCATCTTCAGACAATTCGCCCCACTCTACCTCAAGAACCAATACTGTTTCCTTAAAATCTGCAGAGAAAGGGCTTTATAAACTTCGTTGGGAAGAATTTAATCTAGTTGGGTTTCCAAGGCCATTGGCTGTGATTTCGGATTCCTACTAAAGCTTTCTAGCTTGGGTTTGCTAATATCTAAATTGAAGAAGGCCAGAAGCCAGGGCTTAAATCATCATTTGGAGGTTGACATCGGAAATTCACCAGAGAAGAGATCCAAATCTTTGTCTCATGGGTGGAGGGTCACCCCTGTAGGGTGAAGGATCTTTAGACCTTGGATTATTATTAAAGACTTGCAGAGAGAGCATTTTAAAAAGTAAAAGCGACACTGGGGCGAGATGGAATATCATTTTCTGCTCTCTTCAGTTCCTCTTGCCCCCCCCCATCTCCTGGAAATCTGTTCATAGACTATGGAAGCTTGACTGTCGAAGGGGCAATTTTTTTAAAGTTTACAATTCCAATTCTTCACATTTTCTCTTTCTTCTTTTCAATGTAAGGTTTATCAAACGGATAAGAAGCACTTTCTCTGCAAAGACAAGTACTATGGAAGAAAGCTCTCAGTGGAGGGCTTCAGACAAAGCCTTTACCAATTCCTGCACAACGGAACCCGTCTCCGGACAGAGCTCTTGGAACCCATCCTGCACCAGCTCCAGGCCCTCCTCTCCGTCATCCGGAGCCAGAGCTCATACCGGTTCTATTCCAGCTCTCTCCTTATCATCTACGATGGGCAGGAGCTCCCAGAAAGAACCCCAGGTGGCCTGCAGCCTCAGGAAGCTCCTCAGAAGGCCCGTGGCAGTGCTCCAGGAGGTCTGGCCAAAGTTGACATTCGGATGATCGACTTTGCCCACACGACATACAAGGGCTCCTGGGATGAGCAGACCACCTACGATGGACCAGATCCTGGCTATATTTTTGGCCTGGAAAACCTCATTGGGATTCTGCAGGATATCCAGGAGGGAGAATGAAACTTCTTGGCACGATCTGGAATTTTCTGGGCTACAGATTTTGAAAAGGGACCTATTGGTAGCTAGGATAGGGTAGATACCCCTTAGATGTCTTTTCTAATAATCAGATCTACCTTCAAAGGCCATCTCTATACATGGCAGACTATATTAACCGTTGCTAAAGAAATACGCCCCGGAGGCAATTCCACATGCCGGGCACCTCCTGTAATGCTGGTCGTCTGTCGGCAGCACCGAGCAGGAGCAACAGAAGCAGAGGCCAGCACTGCAGTGAGTCTGGAGCATTTGCATCTACAAATGCTTTCTTGTCATGCTGCAGTCCTCCTGGCTGTGAGAGAAAAAAAAAAAAAAAAAAAAAAAAAAACCCTCCTGGAAGAAGTCTTGAAGAATGAGTTCCCAAGTTCAAGGATTTTTCTGCCTGTGTGAGCTGCCGGCTCCACGGGCACACAGAGCCAACCAGTGCCTCTTACCTTCCTAGAGGAGTGGGTATGGGTGAGACCCACTTGCCTGTCTCACCTGCTCTATACCCAGGTTCTCAATGACAAGGACACAGGCTGGGGGTGCACCCTGATTGTCGAGAGTGTGCCTCACATGCACAAGGCCGTAGGTTTGGATCCCCAGCACCAAGATAATAATAATCTAAATAAATGGACAAGGACACGCCCAGGCATGAGCACTAGTAAACCAAGACCTTGCCTCTCCATTTTTGCCTATGGAGAGAAAGGTCTCTTTATAGATTTCCCACTGCCTACGGGAGATGAAAACTCTGCCACATTCTGACCACAAAATGACTGTGACCATGAAATGCAACTTCCGGTGGGGGTGGAATGCACGTGAGGAGGAACTCCTGGTGTCAAACTCTACTCTCTGCTTTCTGTTTATTTATTTGGGAAGGTGGGGGTGGGGGAGTCCAAAGAAAAGAACCTAGAGGACCGAGGAAACCAGGGCAATGTTTACAAGACTGGTGGACAAGTGTAAATAGAAAATAAGAGCAAACAGTTCTAATTAATTCCTTCTTCTGCAGTGTGGGAACCTATTACAATGCCCTTGGGTCAAGCGCTGCGATACGTTCCCCAATTAGGGAAATAAATTTGTTAATAAAATTGCTGAGGTCACCAGTGATTATTGGTGGGCCTTATTACCCTTTCTGTTTGTTTATTCTGATCAGCACACTGTATGGCAGTTCCAATTTATGAGCGACTAGAGTATACAGCAAGAATAGCTCCCTGATTTCCTGCAATCCTTCAGGGAACTCGGGTGGAAATGGTGGCTAATAAAATATTTGCATGTATCTGCAAGGCAGGCACCAGATCTTTCATTTCACTTGAAACTTATATAATGCAAAATTAAATAGTTATTGGATTCTAATGGATAACTGCCGTCAAGTTTCCAAAATTTCCATACTCAGAAGGAAAAGAATGGCCTGGATCATAAAAATTTTTAATTCTGGATTACACTGCCTGGATTTTAAAGTAGGATTTAAAAATCCCAAATTATGTTTGGCCAAGGTAATGACAAAATTATTTTTGCAGACTGTGCTTACGGGGGAAAGTGGGGCCAGAGCATGTTAGGTGGCAAAAGAGAGCCAACTTCAAACTAAATATTTGCCTATGACAAAACGGAGCCCTAAACCCTTTCTTGCTTGAGAACTTGGTACTGCACCAACCAAGTCCAGAGCTCCCTGGCTTAGCTTCTCATCCCCACGCATTCCTAGCTCTGGATGTTGTGGGACTGGAATCTAAATCTATGGCTGGTCCACCCTGGTCACAACATGCCACAGCTGCTGTCTGTGTCCTTCCTCCTCTCCACGTGATGCCCCTCTCACCTCACCTCTCCCCATGGTCCCCTTCCCCTGTGAGGCCTTCTTCCTTCTCTCCAAACCATTTGAGGCCTGGCCTGAGTTCCCATCTCCTCCTGAAGATGGCCCCAACAAAACGGCACTTTATTGTAAGAAGAGGAGAGTTGCTAATGGTTTTAGGTTGTTCTTACTGGACTGCTGGACCCAAAGGGGGCCACTGTGGTCTGGAATCTGCTCTGCAGATTTGGGAAATGAGCTCATCCAGTTGATTCCAATCGGGGAAGAAGGAGAAGAACAGAAAGGTACATAGAGCCAGGTGTGGTGGTGCACCCCGGAAGTCCCAGCTGCTCAGGAGGCTGAGGCAGGAGGACCTGAGTTCAATGCCAGACTCAGCAACTTAGTGAGGCCCTGTCTCAAAATAAAAAATGAAAAGGGCTGGGGAGGTGGCTTAGTGGGTAAGCACCCAGTTTAATCCCTTGTACCCAAACAAGGTCAAGGTACACAGAGAAAGGAAAATAGGAGATATTTATGTATTTGGGTCACAGATCCAAGTTTACTCAAAAAAGGCAAAAGAGCCAGGCATGGTGGCATACTCCTGTAATCCCAGTGCTGGGGAGATGGAGGCAAGAGAATTGCAAAGTCAAGGACAGCCTGGGCAACTTAGCAAGTCCCTGTCTCAGAATAGAAAGTTAAAAGACTAGGGATGTAGCTCAGTCACAGAGTGCCTCTGGATTCAATCCCCAGTGAAACACACACACACACACACACACACACACACCCCACAGCAGAAGGCGTGAGGGAGCTCTAAATAATGTGGCAATCGGAAGCTATTTGTTCTGGTCTTTTTATTCATGCTAGGGAAGATGCAGCTCATGGGGAGCTTAGGTTCTAGTTGAGGAGGCAAGAGTAACACATGTGAACTGACAACGAACCACACAAGAGGATTTGCTGTCAATGATATGGAGGATGTATCTGTGTGGTGCAGGTGATCAGTGCTATAACACCTTTAAGCTAAAGAGGCTTAGCTGGGTGACCCATGCTTGTAATCCCAGCAGCTCAGGAAGCTGAGGCAGGAGGATCTATGTTCAAAGACAGCCTCAGCAACTTAAGGAGTCCCTAAGCAACTTATCAAAACCCTATCTCTAAATAAAATATTTTTTAAAAGGGCTGGGGATGTGGCTCAGTGGTTCAATGCCCCTGGGTTTGATTCCTGGTACCAAAAAAAAAGGAGTTTGCTGTTAGCATAGTCACCACAGAGACTGTTGGAGGAAACGGCTTCATCTGGGTCCTGAAAGGTAATAGGAATGGAGAAGGGACTAGGGTTAGGTGAGGGAAGGGAAGTAGGAGAGAGTAAGAGTCCAGCAAACTCATGTATGAGGTTGCCATGGTTGGGAAGAGTAGAAATGAAGAATGGAGAAATGGAGAGAGCCCAGATGGTAGAGATATTTGAAAATCTGGCCAAGGAGCTCATTCATGTGTTTGTAATTTCATTAATTTGTCCTTCCCTCCCTCCCTTCCTTCCTCCCTTCCTTCCTTCCTTCTCCCATTTACTGAGTTCCTGGTACACACAGCACCATGCTCAGGCCTGAATGGGAAACGAGGAAGTGTGAGGATCATGATGTCATCACCAAGATGCCACAAGAGAGTTAAGATCCCAGACAAAAATATCATAGGTGCTTTAATAGGGCAGGGGGCCATGTGATCAGATGTGCACAGTGCCATCCAGCAGAGCAGAGGCAGTGAGGGCCGCATGGCATGTCCCAGAAGTGGTGTTAGGCTGTGCCTAGAAAGGGAGTCAGGTCTAACGATGATGAAGGAGGGCAGGTGTTCCAGGTGGATCGATAACCACGGCGACAGGGAATGATCTGGGGGCCACAGGGGGAGGGTGTGCATGGGCACTGAGGGAGATGACAATGAACCAGAGAACTAGAAAGGGCCTCTGGACCTTCTTCCTGCTGCTGCCTCTTGCCCAGGAGACTGTAGGAGCCTGATGGCGGCCTCCCTTACCCACACTGGGTAGCTCTCCTTCTGAATTGAGGAACACACAGCTATTAGAGGATGCTAACTGCTATAATAAATAATCCCCAAGTATCAGTAGCAGAGCATTACAATCCAACGCGGTCAACAGAGAGCCTCTTCCCCACACTGTCACCAGGACCCTGACTCCTTCCGTCTTCAGACGCCACGCCGTCCTGACAGCTGCTGGTGACACGTAAAAGTTAGACAGCATGGATAAGGCACACCCACGCCCTACGAGCAAGAATTAGTCATGTGGCCCTTCCCCAGATGTCAAGGGGCTGACATGGAATGTAATGACGGGCCCAGAAAGAGGAAATGGGTTTGATGAGAACCTAGTCAGCCTCTGCAATAACGTGTCTCTATAATCCTCATGTCAATATGACACCTGGCTTCAGGATGGGGAAAGAGAGAAATAAACAGTGAGCATGAGGGGGCGGCAGGGGCCTGGCAGCGTCTCTGCTGCAGGTTCTGACCAGATCCTCCCTCTGGCTGTGTCCTATGACAGGCAGTGAGCTAGGGAGTGCCGGGAGATGTGCTTGGAGTCTCCCCCTTCAGCCCCTCATCAGTCCTATGGGAATCTAACACCTGTCCTTAAGACAGGAGACGTGGAAGAGCAAACAGGGGTCATTGCCATCACCACCCCCAATGAAGCAGCCTGCTCCTGGCCTGACCTCTCCTTCTCATCTATTGCCACCACCACCACCAGAGTCAGCAGAGGAACAGGGCAGCCTGGGAGACTGTCATCGCCCCGTCCCCGACCCTCTGGTGTCCCCTGTGTGATTAAAGAGGAGGCTAAAGAGTGGAATGTTATTACAGCTTTTCCATAATGCAATGTCATCAGCAAGCCCTGGGCCTCTGGGCAGCGCCCTGGCAGCGCCATCACTCTTCCCAGCTGCACAGAGCTTTTAGACCGCGGAGGAAGGGGCAGGCGGCAGTCTAATAAAACAAATGGCAAGGCGAGACCGCTCATCAGCAGCTCTTCAAAGTGATCTAAACTTCTGACTTTTGATTTAAATCTGCATCCTCTGTGGCCAAAAACATAAAACAGAAGATGAGGGAGAGAACTGAAATGAAAGTACGGGTGCCAAGAAGTAGAGGGGAGGGCGGGGGTGGAAGGGCAGCCCTGGGACAGACAGCCGAGCCCTGCCTGGTGGGCTGACTCGCAGCCAGGCTCCAGGCCTCTCATCAGGCTCTTCTCAGAACCTCCCCTTCTGTTGCTAAGCTGCCCAGAAATGGGATAGAGAGTTGGACTGCTAACCCAGCAACAGGCTCCAGGAAGCTCTCTGCTCCTGGTTTGCTCTAAACCTTTCTCCCTCAGTCGTCCAAGATGAGTCGGCTAGAGAGGCAGAGCTATGGCGGGGACAGGTGGCCAGGAGACCTGGCTTTATGTTCTAATGTCTTTCTCTTCAGATTCATTTGCTCAACAAACATTTCATGAGAGGTTACTGTGCACCGGGCCCTGCTGTCCAATAGTGCTTTGATGCAAAAGAGGACAAGTGACTGCTTGTCCCTGCTGCTGCCTCCAGTGGGGTCAGGGAGCCTCTCTGCAGTGACATCAAGGCAGATGAAGTGCAGAGAGGAAGGCAGATCCCTGGGGCAGATGGACTCAGTATCTCAAGACAGCTGAGGGTCTTCAGATATATGAAGCCACTTAAAGATCCCACAAGCTGGGCACAGTGGTGCACGCTTATAATCCCAGCGGCTGGGGAGGCTGAGGCAGGAGAATTGCAAGTTCAAAGCCAGCCTCAGCAAAAGCAAGGCACTAAGCAACTCAGTGAGACCCTGTCTCTAAATAAAATACAAAATAGGGCTGGGGATGTGGCTCAGGAGTCGAATGCCCCTGACTTCAATCCCCAGTACCCAAAACATAAAAAAGACCCCACAAAGGCCTGTCCAAACCCTTACATGTCTTTTTTACCTCAAACCCTTACATGTCTTTTTAAAAAGTTCACCCCACAATAAGGCAGTGGTCTAGTGTTCAGTGTTACCCTCTTGGCTACCTTTGCCCCCAGGTCATTAAATGACTAACTAACCTGATTCAAGTCCAGGCCCACACTTTTTGGTAACATATCCAGGTATTGGAGCCAATGAGTCTCTCCAGCTGAATAAGTTGAAAGAGGAAAAATCAGGAAATCGTGCCCCACAATGAAGCTAAGTATTTAATTCCTTTTTAATGTTTACATTATTAACACCAGCATTACAAAACGATATTTTTACTTTCGAGCGATTTAAATGTGCAATTTAGTGTCTCAATTACTAGGATCATTATAACTTAAAAAACGGAAGCAGCGCCTCCCTCCTGTCTCCTCTCCCTGCGAATGCCTCCTTTCTCTAAAGAATAATCAGGGCTCCAGAAAGCCCAAATACCCATTCCAAATGGCTAGGGAGGGGCAGCCCTGGTGGGGGTTTTCAATAAGCCAGAGGAG